CCCCCAAGAAATGATATAGGGCGACAGTAAAACATTTTGTAACTTTAGTAAAAGAAACTGCATGTATACAGGACCACACACTTTACACACTAGATCTATACTAACATTTCAAATAGAGGAAAATAATGTGATCAAGTCTGCTTTGAAAATTGACTAGATCTACCCACACGTTTATTGCGACGAAAGTGCATTTCAAACAACATCATATTATTGTTCTTCAAAACAACAAATACTGATAACATGCCAAATAAAACGTCTTGGTATCTATATAAATCAACAGACCAAGACTAACCGTAGAGCATTCATCCAAACCTTCCATATACAATGTATAATAGAGATTCAACAAATAAGGTCCCCGGCCCCCGAAAAAAAAGCCACTCGCACAAAAAACCCAAAATATGACAACAACAACATAACACAAAAACACAGCAACAACCGCAACCACAACAACAACAACAACACAACACAAAAACAACAACAACAACAACAACAACAACAACAACAAACAACAACAACAACAACAACAAATAACCGTCCCATCCACCTCCGGGAAAAATCTCAAAGAAAAGCTCATTGTGTCGGTCTCCAGATGCAAAGAAGGTAGTCAAATTAACTTTTTTTTTTTAGAGCCCCCATTTTATTTGTCATGTTCTCTGTCTGCCCTCACAAATGAGATTCACAAACAAACGGCGCATTAACGCAGCTTTAAATCTTATGGGAGATTCATATGCTCTATACTTCTACCATACGGTACAAAAACTGCTTCGCACATACACAAAAATAGAGGTGAAATTGTAGGCCCCTTTAACGCAGTTTCTTTATTACCTTGATTGAACATGTTTGGAGAAACAAGACAACATTCGTACGTATTAAGCGACATAATATGTGCATTATCTTACAGTTTCATGATGTATGCATATAAAAAATATATACATGGCGAATTAAGGCAAAGACAATGTATTTGAAGATGACTCAACAGTCGAGACAAAACAGAAACAATTTGCATCACAAGAAAAGCAAAAAGCTTACCAGAACATCTCAAATGTACACGTCTGTTTCATAAGAAACTTAGTATTCATGCCCAACAGGAGTATTATTCAATGAGCTGCATTTCACCATTAACTTTTAAATGTAGGATGAATCATTCCTCAACCCGAACAAAACCTATTTTCTCATTTCTTACATGACGTTAAGCACAATCAAAGGAAGTAGAAAGATGTTGATTTGATTCAATTCTTATAAATTTCTTAGTTTGTCAAGCTCTTACAAGTAGGCCTACCATTTTACATTTACTTTTTCCAGTCAGATACCTTCACTGTACTTATCCTTACTGGCCTCTTGGTAACGATGTTAACACGTGCACTGAACACTACTCATTATAGTACTAAGAAAAGACAGAAAGGCTGCTTCCACTGCCATTCATTTCAAGGTGAACAAGTAATAGCCCGCATTATTAACATGTGCATTCATTCAAATATACATGTATACCTAAATCTATCATGAAAAGAAAAACAAACCCAAACAAACTAACAAACAAGCTCGAAAATGTTTGACTTTTTGTTGTTGTTGCAGTAATTGGATTAAAACACTGCTGCAGAATGTGGCATGAAAAACAACATTTTTTGTTCATGTTTGTTACCGTACATGCGTATACGTTAAAAAACAACAACCAACTTTTAGTCTAGGTATGCAATGATCAGTGTATCAAAAAATAGAAGTAACAAACAAAACTAATCACGCTTGTACTTCTGTGATTATTCACTGATTTTATAGTGTCACTGGTTCAGCAACTTAGAAAAGAAAAATATGACGTTTTGTAAGCCTACACTTTTACCTTCCAGAGCAACCACTGACTTTAGAGTAATTTCAAAGGACTTTCACTCTTTACCTTAGGACGTTTTTTAAGGAAAAGTCACAACCAGGAACATCGTTTACTATTCCATAAAAAGCACAATTACATGAATATGAAATCAGCACAAACCACGGATCGGCAAGAAAGTCCTCTGTCAATGCCAGTGATAGCTATGAACTACACAACAGACTGGAATCACACTACAGACTTGGTCAAACGAAGTGTGGAGCGGCTGTTGTTTAGGAAGCCCACATCTCCAGCTCTCTCAAGTCGTCATCATTCTTTGTGGGTCGCGGTTTTGCAGCAGGGCGTGGTTCAGTGGGCTCGGCGCTGGGCACGCTGGGTAGGTCTTCAGTAGGTCCCACAAACATCAGCGTCTGGTCAAGATCCTCCTGTTCCATTTCCTCTAGTTCTGCCAGTAAATCATCCTCACTATAAATATCCATGCCAAAACCAGCAGGATTAGCAATAACTTCAGTAATTTCGTTTGCCTGTTCTTGTTGCTCCGCAATTTCGTCCATGATCTCGTTTACTTTATCAATGTCCATATTATTGTAAGCCTCCTTCAGGGCACGGGCTGCAACTCCCATAACTTTGAGTACTTCTGTATTTGTACTTGCATTCTCCAAAGCTTGCCGTTGGAACTCAATAGTGGATAGGGTACCATCAATCTGATTCAGCTGCTTTTCACAATTTTTCTTTCTCTTCAGAGCCTGGATTGCCAGTCTTTTGTTCTTTATACCATTTTTCTTCGCTGTCGCAATCTCAACGTCGATTTTCTTTTCTAAAAAGTCCGACTTTTTCATCAACATTTCCTCTACCTCTCGAAGCCTCTGTATTCCTTCTTGAGGTGTTGGGGCTTTCCCCTGTTTCCCACCACCAAAAAGTTTCTTCAGCAGACTCATGATTGACAAATGAATTCCCTTTGGGTGGATCGACTTATATATCAACTGAAAGAGCTGACGAATGGGCTATGTATGATGTTTGCTGTATCGCTAAAACCCAATGGGTGTATTACGGATACTCTAAATATACCGCAGATCGTGTACTGTCACAACCCGATGATTCTGACTCAGACAGCACAAGGGAAAAAACCCGGATATTTATGAACAAGCAGCCTCTATTATCACTCTCAAATCAAACCTGGCTAGGGCTGGGCAATGAGCAGCTTTAGCCAAATCCGGATAATAATTTTATGTTAGTGCATCTCTTCGGCGCGGTATGAACCGCTTCGGCAAATGAGTTAGAACCACTTCGACAAACGAGTTAGAAGCACTGCAACAAATGGGTGTACCCACTTCGACAAACGGATTAGGAAAAAGCTTTTATGAGTCTGAATTCGGATAATGTTTCATTGAGAATTATCCGGTTATCCGGATAGGTTATCAAGATTTTGCCAACCACTACTGGCCACAACAATGGTCTTCTGTTGGTTCGGATACCCGACTACTGATATGCACTTGACGCGATCTCGAAAGTAAGAAGTCTTCTTTATCTTTTGGTCCTCATTTCACCCATTGGCTACGGATAAAGGCCGCTTTTCAATGGGTGGAGACTGAACAGGATGTGATTGTGAATGGTTCTTTAGATCAAGAGGCACAGCCCAAATAGACTGTAATACTGTAGATGTATCATGTATGCGTCTCCATGAACGGTGTTGATAAATGAGTGCGATAAACTGGCTGTCCAAGGGTTACACTGAAGTAGTCTGTCCAGCTATTGGGAACCATTGCCCCCC